AAGACATGGTGAAGATAAGAAACCAAAGAAAAGTAGTAGGGTCTGCAAAAATCAGAGAAAAGAATAAGCTGCAGATTCTGTACAAGGAGCTTCTATACAAAAAGGTATCCAAAGAGCTAGACTGCCAGGCTGAGTTTGTGGTCTTTCGAAGAGTGAACGAGAGTAAGTCCATTCTAGGAGCACACAACGAGATTCTTGATGTTTTGATCTCGCGGTACAACCTTCAAAGGTAGTATTAAAAAAATAAAAATAAAACTACTAGTGAACTCAGAGCTACAGGATAGTACAAGAATAAAAATAAGTTTGCTAGCTCTCTACAGAATTTGTGGTTAACTGAATATAAGAGCAGACTTGCCCTAGAAAAGCAACAAAAAGGGTGATTATGCATGCTAGTGTATATCTTGGCTGAAAAGTTATAAATGGAAAACTATCATTTTTTTTGCATGAAATTGAAGAAATTAAGGAAATTGTTAGGTGCTGGTGCAGTGCTTCTTGCGTTCTTTATTACAGAGTGCAGGGGAGGAAGAGATGCCTCCAACCAGATAGATATCACTGCAGGGCCATCTACAGGAAGAAAAAGAAGAGCAAGTGAAATAGAGCTGGTGGATGCAGTGTTGAGTCCTGCTTCACAAGAGATGCCAAAGGAAAAGAAACAGAAGAAAAGCGATGATTCATCAAGCGAAACATCTGATACGGACTGCCAGGAGGAGGGAAGCGGAGACAGAACAAAAAATGAAAAACAAAGAAAAAAAAGAATAAAAATAGAAATAAAGGATCTGGACGTTGATCTGTGGAACAATAAAAGATTAGACAACACGAGAAGAAAAAGCTATAAGCTAAACTGCAACATAGTGTCAGAGATTAATAATCTGAACATAAGCATGAATTATGTAAAGCGGCTTACAAAATACCAAGAGAAGCTCAGAAAAGACATCAAGGAATTTTGCACTCATGTTGCACAGAAGGTAGAGGACAATGTGTTTTTGTACTTCATTGCGTGCCGAAGTACAACGATAAACAAAAAATATAAAGACTTCTTTGGCATAAAAGAGCTGATTGAGGATGATAATAATATGAGCATGCTAACGAATTTTCAAGGGTACTATCCTGGAATACTGGATGATATGATAGCATACATAGAAAAACACCGGCAAATGAGAACCGTTAAAGACAGCCCTCTAACCGAGTGGAAGGAAAGAATAGGCGATATTTTTATACGAAACTGTCTTGATTTAAAGAGGTTTATGCCTAGAGA